TTGGGAGTCTCCTACAATAGGATTACATGCATGCAAGGTCAAAAAACGCTTTCGTTTTCTCAAAATATGCATTTAATATCACTCAATTTTCAGCGATTCTCAAACGATTAGTTCAAAGCAGTTCAAAGATTCAGTCTCTCTAAACCCCTCCTTTCCGTGAGCCTGCTCTGCTCTGATTGGTCAGATGGCCCAGTCTGTTGTGATTGGTCTACTGCATACATCGCGTGTTGGAAACTATATGCCTATTTCGGTAGTTCTATATTTTGAACGTTCTATAAAAAATATAAACATCTATTATTTATCATACTTACAGGTTGTGATTCAGTGAAGCAGCTGGTCCAAATAAACTAGATACTTACTGATCCATCTTTCAACAGCAAGCGCTTCGTGAATCCCACATTGAACTCCCCGAGATTAGAGAAGTAGTTGTCAGTAGAATGACGTGTTTGTGGGCGGGGTCAAGTTGTTCGCGGCCGGTGTTCTGACAAATAATGCTACTTATCAGATTATGCTATCAACACTGTATTTATCCTACTGTAAGGGTAGGTTTAGGGTTGGGGTAGGTGTACATGTTAATAAAGCCTCACACCTTATTAATATCATGCTGGTAGCACTTTTCGATATCGAATTATGCTACCATCTGTTTTAATGGGAGGTAGCAAAATCTGACAGGGTAGCACAAATCGTCAGAACACCGGCCAACGTAGAACATAGGCACGCATTATGCAAATGTGTTACCGCCTGAGGTGTAGCCGTCACGGAAGTGGGATTCGAATTACTAACGACTCATTTCAGTTAGTATTTATTTATCGTGCACTTTCAGCTTTACAACTTTGCAGATTGTTTACATTCACATGCAGCTACATTACACACTGCATGAAAGGCAATATTGTAAATGGCATAATAGGGGCACTTTAATAAACTATAATAGTATCTCAAAAATACTAAAATAACACGAATATGATGAATATAATATAACATGAATATGCACACTGACGAAAAATGACAAAATGAAGGTTTATGCAAGTAAAACAAATGTTTTAAAGAATTCAACAAGTATCTATGCTGTTTTGATGTTGATTGGTTAGAAAGAAAGTGAAAATAGTTTGCAGGTTTTTTGTATCAGTGATCAAAGAAGGACAAAAGAGACATAACTAAACTATATATTTTTTTACACTGTAATTAGACATCAGGGGAAACGCTTCATGTTAAAACGCTACAGCTTGTATGTAGGCCACTTTAAACATGTTCATCTTTTTTAATCAGTGCTCTGCCATTCCATTTTAATTATTAACACTTTTAATTAAACAGTTTAATAAAAATAAAAAAAAGGAGATTCAAAGTTCAAACCTGCTCAGTGGACAGAAATCTGATCCAGGGTCAGTTTCTGCTTTCACATGCCTTATATAGACTGATGGATGTGACTCTGGATCAGTCCACTGAGAAACTCCATATATTAAGGCCTGCGTGGCTAAACTGTATTAACCACATCACTACCAAACAGCAGCACAATCTACACACAAACAAACAAACTACTGAATAAACACAGCACTGGATCAATCTAAACACTAAACTATACGACACATTTAAGCCCAATTACCTGCATATCTGAATGTATTTGACCACCAGGCAACAGGAGCGACTTCAAAATATGGAAAAAACATGAGAAAAGTTTAAAAATAAACAAGCCCTATGACACATTTCAAGTGGGCGACAGTTTGTTTGAGCTCCATAAAGCCAACTGTGGTAATTATGAACACCAGTATAAGCATAAGTTCACATTTATTGTCTTTTTTTACCCATAACAAAAGCCAGTTTGAGTTGTTCTGCTGTAGAAATGGGTATATCAACTATAATCTCTTCTTCAACCGTAGGAATCTGTCTAAACCTGCCTTACGAGTTAAACTGAGATTCAAACTAACTAAACTCTGAGGCTGAAGGGTGAATTTTAATGAAATGATGGCAGTGCTGGGTAGCAACTGATTGCATGTAATCTGCATTTCATAATCAGACTCCAAAAATTAAGTACTTGTAATTAGATTATATTACACTGTAAAATACTTGTAATCAGACTACAGTTACTTTTTATTGATTGCATGATTACACATTAAAATTCACATTATTTCGTATTTGTGTAATGCAGGGATTTCCATTTTTTTTTTGTCAGCTGAACCTCTTTCACCTAATATATTTACTTAAAATTCCTCCTGAGATTTTAAGGTAACACATTTGCATGTTCATGATCCTCTGACGTTAGTTAACTGTCACATGGGATGCGGGTAATGCGGTGTTCATGTTGTTAATAATAATAAATAGAACATATTTTCTTCCTCTTTACATTTTTATTTCTATATAGCACAACATTAACCTATTTAAATCAATGTGATAAACGGGTTATGTCGAAAGTAATCTAAAAGTAATCCAAAAGTAGTCTGATTATATTACCTTAATTGTGTCATGTAACAGATTACGTTACTAACTACATTTGTTGTCATGTAATTTGGAACAAGTAACGGATTACACTTTGTAAGTAATCTAGTCAGCACTGAATGATGATTTCATGAAGATGTTTGGTTGTGAAAGATCAACAAGTCCCACTAATAATTACCTTTGACATACGAGTCCCACTGTTTCCTGTAGTTCAGATCCATGTAAACATCTGTGCAGAGATCTGGAGCGCAGCTGGCCAGAGAACCGAACACTTTGTACTCATACAAACCTGTATCCTGCCGAACATGACATTAAAGACAAAATGCATCACAAACACGACCCAGATGACAGCCAGAGCCTGTAATGCTGAACAAGCATCATGATATATGGCTCATATGTGCGCTGTTATGAATGCACGAGAGGGGAAACTGATCCCGACGCATGCGGACAGGATCTCTTGAATGCATCAGTCATGCTTGCTTTTGCTTATATGTTTTTGCTTATAAATCGCTAACATCTGGATCTTTTAATGGGTGAGCGTGGAAGTCATTTCAACCAAACTGAACCAAATTATCTTTCAGAATTGTACATGCTATCTATGTATTTTATAAAACGCTATGCAACAGATGAATAACATATATTGTGTGAAGTATTATATAACAGAAACATTTTGCGCTGTCACCAGATTCGCCCATTTCATTACGTCACATAGTATTTTATATAGTTACATTTTCAACTCCAGTGAATATTTGTCAGAGTTCATTTATTTTCAAAAGCCAATTTCTTAAATGGGGTAAGTTGTCACAATGAAACATGGCATTAAACGGTATATAAAACAATAAGTCAATTATGAATTATAAAGTAATACAAGAAAAATGTGGAAGGATAAATGGGGAAAAATAAAATAAGTGGAAAAATTCAGAAACTGAAAATCATCATAATTAATAACAGAATGATTTATAAAATAAGATGAACGAATAATTGACAAAAAATTGCAATATAAATACTAGATGTGTATGTTGATTCAAAATCAGCAACTGCTAGAAAAAACAGGTGTGCATCTGGACTTTTGATTCAAAATATTAAAGTCATTCAAATACATGGATTATGACAACATGTGACAACTAGCCCCGGCCTCCTCTATTATGCAGTTTATTTTATACAACACAACAATGTTATTTAACTATCACTGAGATCATTTGTATTAATATTTTGAATTCGTTTTTATTTTTATATTATCCATTTATTTTAATATTGATTACATTTTTGTATGTGTCATTTTTATCATTTTTATATATGTTTATATAGTTTTATTAATTTTTATATCTGTTTTAGTTAGCACAGTTCAGTTTAGTATATGAAGTAAAACTAAATAAAAATTGTGGAATGCTGCCTTGGCAACTAGCTGAAATTATTATTTTTTTATTTCAGTTAACTTTTCATTTAAAGGGGTCATATGATGCGATTTCAAGTTTTCCTTTCTCTTTGGAGTGTTACAAGCTGATTGTGCATAGATAAGATCCCTGAAGTTGCAAAGACTAAAGTCTCAAAACCAAAGAGATATTCTTTATCAAAGTTAAGACTCTGCCACGCCCTCCTAAAACGGCTCGTTCTAACACGCCCCCACATATCTACCTCACTATGTGGAAATATTAGCATAATGCGCCCAAATGTTCATGCAAAGAAAGAAGGCGTGGTTTCAGTAACCGCAGTTAGTGTTGAAGCAGCATGTCAGGGAGACGCTGTGTGTTTCTAGGCGAAAGCAAAAGCACTTTATTTGGCCTTCCGAAAGTAGATGCATTTAGGAATCTTTAAGATTACTTACAACAGAACAGCAATGCATTTTATGGACGACCGTTTCGTGAACCTAGGAGAGGAGGTAATTCTGACTTTGCTATGACAATCTGGCACTTCTGAATCAGCTATTGTAAGTATGTTTTGTTATTAGTTTAAGTATTTGCTATTGACTGTCCAAATGCGGAGTTTTGTGCATCATGTGTGTGTGTGAGGGAGAGAGAGAGAGAGAGAGACAGGGTCACATCAAAGTGGAGTCAGCTGTCTTAACCGTGGCTTGTGTGCTACAAACACAATACCAGCTTCATCACTGTGTCTGTCACGCGACTCTGTTCCCCTTTCGGGCTTGAACTGATGGTAAAACTAACGACATTATTTACTGTTTTTAGATTTATTTTGAAAGCTGACGCTCGCGATTATGGTAAGGGGCGTTACATTTCCGACGAGTGCTTGCGGTGTTCGGCCAATCACAATGCACTGGGTCAGCTGGCCAATCAGAGCAGACTGCGCTTGTCGGAAGGAGGGACTTTGTAGAAAACGAAGCGTTTGAGAGAGGCGGGGCATAGAGGACATATACTGTACAGTATTTGAAAAATTATGTGTTTTTTGAACATTAAAGCATGTCAACATATTCCGTTACACCAAATACACAAAATAATGATCTTTAAAAAAGCATCATATGACCCCTTTAATACAAGTAAAGAATATGTTTTAGTTTTAGCTGCAATAGGTCTGGTGCTTTTGCAATGAGTTTGAAGCTTATATAATATAGTATACAACGTACAGTAGGCCTATGTTGTTCAATATTATATAGAAGAATATATGCCCTTTGGGCAGTTTGTGCTGCAATTTGCTTAAAATACTAATCAAACGCAACCACTGCATCATGTTAGTTAGTATGTTATGTTATGTGTGATGTTATATAATACATTTTGTAAAGCAGAAAACTCTTTGCTTTGCTGCATTGTTTTGACCGCACGTTCTGTCACTCATGCTATATTCACCTTGCTATACAGTCTGTATATTTTGACGTCCACGGTCTCGGTAAAGAACTCCCAGCCCCCGTCGAGCTGCGGCTCGTCCAGTTCTCTCCACGCCTGCTGGAACTCCTCGTCGCTGAAGAGCAGAGCCATGGTGCTGCTTCCACGAGAGTCATGTGATCGCACGCGCTGACGTCAGAGCGCAGCTGATCGCCCGCCACCTGCTCACTGTCACGCTTGTGCACGACGTTACACTCACATGATTTTGATAATATCTATATTTTATTTATGTATTTTATATATGTAGATATATGAGCATCCAGTGTGAGCTTTTGTTGTATATAAAATAAATATATAAAAAGTATTAAATATATTATAATATATATATCTAGCGTAGCGTCAGTTCTGGCAGGTCACGTTAGTCAAGCTCGCATCAGCTGGCTCTCAGCTGATCCCCATCAACCTATCTAAGTATTCATATATAAGGTCCCGCAGTAGTATCAGCAGTTTTCGCATTGCTCCATAGCTAATTAAATGGCGAATTCGGCAGGCAAAACCATCTCTACATTATTGTCATGAACTCCACAAGTTATGTGACTGACTCACGAACAAGTCAGATGGGAACTTCATCCCCAAGATGGATATCAAGAGATCAAGCATCCACTTCACAGCTGCTATGTTTCACTCTCTCGAACGTCTTCACAAGCTAAGTTCCATTTAATGCTCTCAGGTTATCTGCAACATGCGTGTTGCTAAGGCTATC